CACACGCACACGCGCACACACACCCACGCACGCACACACACACACACATACACGCACGCACGCACGCACGCACACACATACACGCACGCAGAAGGAGAGATATCTGGAGAGAAAGAGAGACGCGCATACCCACAAGCACACACACGCGCGCACATACACTATTTAAGTGTGTTCCTCAGTATAGCTACAAATGTCTTTCTATTATTATATCTATAGATATAAATATATAGGTGTAGAAATAGATGTATATATCTATAGATATTACTATTATATAGGTGTGGACATAAATATTTATATACCTATAACTTGGCCGCAGTATCCCTGCACAATTCCTTTCCTGTCCTAAATAAAGTACTAAATAAAGTCCTAATGTACATAGGAATAGCGCTCGCGTCGCTGGTCGAGTTGCCAGCTAAGGTAATATTTGTCGGGAAAACTTATGCGCTTAATAAAGGCAGGGGCATACGCGGGAAAAAAAATTCGCAGCCCGGCCAGCGAAATTTTTTTTCCCACTTGAGTTCCGGACCACAGCCAATCAGCGCACTCCATTCACTCGACTTCCTCGAAGCAACAATGTAAAATGAATAACCCATTAGCCTACCCTCACCCTCACCCTCAACCTCAACCTAACCCTAACCCTAACTCTAACCCTCACCCTCACCTTAACCATAACCCTAACCCTAACCCTAAACCGTAACCGAACCTTACCACCAAATCTAATCCAACCATATATATACGAACCATATATTACAAAACACTATCTATGGTGGGTCCGGAATTCAAGTGGGAAAAAAAATTTCGCGCCCAGCCAACGGTGTTGGCAGAAAGATGCGATATGATATGACTACTAGGCACTTTAATTTAATTTAATTTTTTTTTTTAGGGTTAGGGTTAGGGTTAGGGTTAGGGTTAGGGTTTTTTTTAAGTGCCTAGTAGTCATATCCTAAGTGCCTAGTAGTCATATCATATCGCATCTATCTGCCGGGTGCCAATAGCCTGGGCGTGACGTCACGC